AACCAGTTGGAATTCTATAAATATCATTCAGCCTTGACCCTTTGTGGTTACAGCTTATTCATCGAGGATGGATAGAAAAGTCAAACTAATGACCAAGGTAATTTGGCACTTTCGGACCATTATATTTAGAGATTTTTTTAAGCGGACCCTCAAGATTTACTCATTTCTCCCCTTCGCTTTAATACCAACTTTTTAACTTGAGATTCTCAATGAAGCACATGGTCAAATAATGTCGAACGAAGTGAACAGATAAAGATTTTTCATTTCCATTAACTGTATAATTTAGTAAACCACCTGAAGTTACTAGGATACATTTTCTAGGAGCACTAGTGAAATAGAACTCATCGTTTTATGCTGCAAATGCCGAAGTATTTTAGTTGCCACATTTGCCGACAGCTCAAGGAGTGAACTACTAAAAAGTGAAATATCAACAGACAAACGCAGTAGTTTTCAGATATACCGCATAATGACTCCATCGATTAAACTATCTCCTCAACCTGGGATTTTAAGCTTAACCTTAATAATACACACTGACCTTAAGGTCAGCTGCTAGCACCATATATCCCACCCTGGAACGCCGTCTCAACTATATGGCAACACAGGAGAATGTTGCACAGTATACTCGCATTGATAGTCACGAACCCCATCCGGATTACAGACAAGAATCTTCACTCAACAATCAGCCTCCAAAAAGTGGCATAACCTCCAGAACAAACTGTGTCTTTAAACCTTTCAGATATGATGCACAGTACTCAGTCTTCACTAAATATATTACTTCGTCATCGGGAATCTAGATGCGAAGTTCATTCGCAGACTTTAGTTAAGGACATTTAAAGATATACGTTAAAGGTAACCTTATCTAACAAGGCTCGCATCAGAGCACTTTGAGCCAAACAAAGCATTTCATAGCGGAAAGCTAATCCATCCTTCTGTCTCAAATATGTTTTCCCGTATGCGAGGGTGGTCGCCTCAGCTAGACTCTGAACTGAAATTCATCCCTCATAGGCCAAGAACGCGCTAAAACGTCGAAGAAAACTTTAACATACACTTTATTGCGGCTACTGCGACCTTCACTGCACACGAGACATTTTTGTCGAATGTGGTTTCAAGGCCACTGATCCATTTTCCAATTCCTGGATGCTGTGAAGAACCGAGAACTATCATAACAGTTAGGCGTTCTAAGCCAGAATTTTAGTTTTGTGAGGTTATCTTTAGGTGGAGAGATTCACTAATCTGCTCAACATCAGCCTCCCCTATATGAATAATGTATTTCGAACAGACGCAGTTTATACACAAACAAGTCAGACCGCATCATCCCATAAAATAGAAAGTAGGAATTATACAAGATCAGGTCAAAAGTGGCTGCGAGTGTGAGAGACTGTAACTAATAAAGTGGGAATAACTTAAGTGCAGTAAACCGTATAGTAGTAGCCAATAGGTTAAATGGAAGCTTATAATAAGAAAATGAATATACATGTAACATAGTTACTTAATAATTATACAATGAGAATATATATCGCAAAAACCATAAATAGGTCCTGACAGTTACCGTTCAATTATTCTTCGTCCAGATATGACACATATGGTTGCCGGGATCCAAGAGTAATTCCGTGCAACATTTGTTCCCTGAGGATGCTAAAGCCCATGTGAGTCGTTGGTTTGGGGTCAGGACCGCCTCCCAACTACTTCCGTACCTACCTTTTCCCAGCACTTCTCTGTTGTATAGCTTGGTAAGTCATACTACTGACTGCGATGAAAATGCGTACTTAACATACTATTTTAAAGTATTCACTGCTTTGAACAAGCTCTATCGCTGTTTAGAACATTCAACACAGTGCTTTATGTGTATATTTTGTCAATAGTTGAAGAAATAACATAAACTCATCATGTGTCCAAGCACAAATATAACACATTTCATTCTACTTCGACCGTTACAATTCAGCTTTATTATGTAAATAATATTGAGGTGTTATTAAACAAATTCATTTAGATTATTGCCACATATTACGTGGGAGATGATCATTCGATGGAAATGGTTATTCAGTTGCCAAACAACTATCCTTTAAGTCCAATTACTGTTAGTAAAGGGCGTAGTGTTGGTGTAGGAAGTCAACAGTGGCAGTCATGGCTTTTACAAATGTCTGTTTTTGTTAATAATCATGTGAGTTGATAGACGTTTATTCTTATTTTGTGTATTTCGATGTAATCTTTTTTCCAGTGAACCATTGTCGATTGTGTCTGATTGGCATTTGAAATTAATCACGTTTATAGATATTTATCTGAATTTAGTGTTAAGTATATAATATAGACTATAATCTAATGCTTTCATCTGAAATTAGTAGTGTCTTCTTCAATTTCATCCTAAGTCCTTTGTGGTGTGATAGATAATTATTCCAATTGTAATAAGTTTTCACTAGTTAGTTCTATAGGTAAGGTATGTCTAAAATGTTAATCAACACTATGATCTGGTGAGTAGAATACTGCTTATGCAAGCATAACAAATAAAACATCACATTTCGAACTACTTTACATCGTGTTAACACGACGAGTTCCAACATTTACTCTTAATCCAATATATCAGAGCGTTGATTGTGACATTACAGCTTGGAAGCAGCATTCCTCAACCCTACATTTGAGCTCGATTTAGATATCTTTAAGCTTATTGCCTTTGGTCGAACACTATAACCTTAACTGTCTGATGAATACTAAAGCGCTAGTTAGGAAAGAGTGATTTTCGTGGATAAAATGAAAGTAGGGAAAGAAAAGGGAAATTCAAGTTCTATGAAGTGACTTGGATAAATATTCACTTCAGACTAGCAATTTAGTAGTGACCTTTAAGCAAATTTTCCGCAATTTATGTTCATCTATAGTACGTGTGTCAGCCACTCTATCTATATAGGTTCACAGTTGCATCAAATGGTTTACTCTAAACGCTAAATTAAGCCTATCTCATTCGGTGGTCTCGTAACATGAGAGCGATAGTGGGACTACAGAGTTTTCGAACTTGTGTCAGTATTGAAAACCACATAGAAAAAAATATTTAAATGGGTTTTCGAAAAGTTTTACACTTAGTTTCCCTAATTATCTTGAAAATAAGGGGGACCGTGTATGTGAAATTTCGTAAGAAAAGGCCCCTCTGCACATGCTTTTGTAAAGTAATCAGAATTTGGGTGGTACAGAAAACGTTCAAATAATATAATCGCTACAAAGTGATATGTTCACTTCTATATGTCGGACTTATTAAATAGAACATAATCTAAAATACACTCATTCCATAATTCGTATTCTGAAATCTGGTTGTTATTATTTGTATTGAACATCCAAATTTAACGAACTTTTATTAAACAAGTTCCATGAGTGTGAATCAACAATAAAACGATATATTATTTAACCTAAATCTCTTGAATTGAATTAGTATTTCTACCTCTCTGTGTTGTTTGTGTCATTTAGAATGGATCGATTTTAGATGGTATTGATTTGTGGCAAAGTAATGTTCGGAAAAAATTCGATGGTGTTGAAGAATGTGCAATTTGTTACTCGATTGTGCACAACACAAATTTCAGTTTGCCTAAAATGCGATGTCACACTTGTCGTAAACTATTTCATTATGCTTGCATGTACAAATGGTTTACAACTAGTCGAAATCCTGCTTGTCCATTGTGTAGACACTTGTTTATTGATCCAACCGGTCGACCTGTATCAACATAATGGGTAAATAAAATTCTGATGATCAATGCAGCAAGAAAATGTAGTATTTCTAATTAATCTGAATCAAATGATCATTTGTTTCATTAATTCATCATAAATCTTGTTTTTTGTTACTTTTGAGAAGGATTACTCTTTTTATTTTTAAGTAGTTATTATTATTATATTGTTTCTGAACTGTTCTGTGGAACATAAACTATCTGAATTTTCTGTATGTTTAATGTGAATGCAAAATGTTTGTCAACTTTCTTTATGGCAAATTACTTCTTGAGAAAATGTACAAATGATGATACAGATCTCGGATATCTGTATTGTGTTAGTTCTTTTCTAGTAGGCTTGTGTGTCTGTTCTTCTATGGAATGAGTGACTTGAATGTACGAACACCACTTCCCAAGGCGACAGGTTCCAAGGGTCGGTGACCCGGTGAGAAAAACTGTATGCTACGGATATTTGTTCAACCTTGGCTTTCGAGCTCGCTTGTTATGCTATTTGATATGTCCCGATCTAATGGGAAGTAATGGAAAAGATACATCAGATCTGACATCATTTCTCAGTATTCTATACACCTGAATCAGATCACCTTTGAATAAACGATAGAACAAAGTAAGGAGGTCCTACTTCTCTATTCGATCTATGTAGACCTCTGTGGATCATAAACGTTGATGATCTCTGTCGAATGATTGGGGGCCTACTCAAGTTAGACGTGAATGGTGTGACCAACAGCTAATGTCGAAGTCACACTTCGCGATTAGCACCTTACGTGGGTTACTCCGTCGTATCTAGGGGCTATGGATGCTTTGAAGACCGTACAACACAACGGATGCTATTACAGAAATATATAAGTTGAAGTAGGTACAGGCGAATGTGTGACCACCACCGCATAGGCCAGTACATTGCGTACGATTAACTGACGCGTGTCGGTTGTCCTTGACTTTGACATGGATCGATGATCTGTTCGATATTCGGTGACCCAACTGTCGGATGATTTGGCTAGTGCTCAGTGACATTTCATTGACCCTACACCTTTGTTAGACCTCGGGATTCTCAAATCCCACTGGTAGTTAGCTTTCGTAATCCCTCCAACTCATGACAGTCGTCCTCAAGAGAAGTTTATCATGACAAGAGATTAACGAACAGCAATATTAATAATAGCAGTAATCTTGATAGGAATAATTGTGGCAGTAATTGAAACTCATGAGACAAGCATCAGGTCCAGCTAATCCTGACGAAGGACAGTAAACCGTTTTGATTTGGGTTATAAACAATTTTAACTGTATTGTTCGTTATTTTTTACCATGGGAACCTTTAACAGTAATGTAGGAGCTTTAGTATCGAGGTATTTTATGTTTAATAAGAGGGATGTCTTACACTACAGAAAATGACACAGTACTTCATAACTGAATAAACGGTTCTATTTTTCAACCATTTACCAGGCATATTAAGTAAATTCATTTTTAGGAGGTGTCAGCTCTTCCTATTGGGTTACTTTGAGTTTTTCGAGATTATTGGTCATTATTAAATGGTACAACGGACAATCGAGCAACCGTGTTATTGTGCAGTTTGGCTACTATCATTGACTTCAAGTAACTCAAAGAATATTCGTAACCGATATAAAAAGACGTACTGGTTTGTTTCAACAAAGTAGATGTTGGTTGAGTTGTGTCGTTGTCTGTACTAGCGTCGAAGTATTTGATTTTCAGTCGTTTCTCTTGTATTGTCAGAAAACGTGCATATCGAGAATTAAATTCACGGTTTTCCGTGCAACGTTACTCACTGTCTTCGCTAAAAGTGAATCTTTTCAAGCACTATGTCTCTGCACATTAGTTGATTGTTAGACAGAATCATAGTGAGGAATTCAGCGATTTCAAGGTTGGTGACGGTTTAGCTGTATAGCACGCCCTTTTGTGGCAGAGAAACGATTAGAATATTAGTTAGAATATAATTGCATAAATCACACTCAAACTTATGTTTCGATACGGTTGGCTATTATAGACTCAAAGAAGTCTCAGAACACTATATTGCATACTTATTCTCCCGCGTTTACCAGTGTTAGTAATTCACGTAATTGAACATATTTGAAGGTACTACTTTAGTTTCTGTTAGATACGAGCTATTATGATGACATAAATCTAGAGTATACAAGAAATATCTTTAAACATAGGGGGAAATAAGTTAGTTCAAAGCAAACATTTGTGATTCACACAAACATTTCACTCGTAATCGTCGATTCAATCAAAGGCTTTAATTTTCCAACGAGCGATGCAAGGATTAGTTATGATATTCGACTTGCAGGATAACTCGTGGATCTTACATTTTCTTCAATGAAGATGGATCCTCTATACATATAAGTGCATCACATTTTTACTGACGTCTGTTGCACATCGTGCAGCATAGGTCACCCACCAAAGATTTAAAGACAACTGTGTTCTGAGCTCTTCTTTCGATATCTGCCTCCAATTTACAGCGCAATGTGTTATTTCTTCATTTTCTTTGAGGATCTGGATTTAGTGTTCGTTTTCAGTGCACTTTCCTAATTTCGTTAAGGTGTGTCCTATCCGGTTCAATCTGTTTTTCCTTATTTGCTCAACAAATGGAAGTTTGCTTGGTTTCTGACACAGGCGGTTGTTGCTGATGGTATCTAGAAAATGGATCCATGATATCTTGAGTGAATAGTTGTTTTTAGATTCACGTACTTACTTTACTATGGTCGTGGTGTTTATCCGAGTTTCAGTTCCTTATCGAAAAATCAATTGTAGTGTTTGTATTGAATATTCTGACGTTGGTGTTGGTCGACAGTTTTTTTGAGATCTAGTTGTTTTTCAGGTGAATGAACGATGTAATTTGTAGTGGCAAATAAATTCCCGAAATCAGTAGCTCTGTACGTCTTTGACATTTGGTGCTGATCGCATTAGTTTTAATGGACTAACCTAGCTGAATGCGCTCGGTCACACATCCGCACCAAATCACGATAGGGTACGCCTACAACCGCTAGCAAGTTCGGATTAGTCATTTCTCTATATATCGATATTTCAACAAATATATATTCGAACCTCTTTTTATTTGACTGGGTTGGTATATTTCGATTATAGGTGTTACTGGTTAAGGTGTTGTCAAATTCCGAGTACTAGTGGCATCTGTAACTCGGATTGTCACTTGTAGACTGATCCTACTGCAGTTGTGACACCTGCTTAAATCCCCTTTTCTTGACTCTTTAATGAAGTATTCATCCTCCAAGTCTTTTGGGACGTCTTGGTTTTCCTATATTTATCTAGAGAACACGAGGGGTTGTGCAAATCATTCTGTGTTTGGATTCAGTCCTTCAGCCATTATTCTGTCTGATCTTATGTGACGTTTGAGTAGACCAATGACCGTGATATACTTTGAAACGTTTGTCTTCACGAAGATCCACTGTATGTGCTCATGTAAACAACTTTTCAGGTAAATATGAGTTATGTGCAACGATAAGGTAAATTTGCGCAACCAAATGGCTGATTGACTTCTCTTGAACCCAAAAAATTGTAACCGTATCGTAACACTACAACAAAAGACTAAAGAATTCAATATGTTTACTCCAGGTTATCACAAAGATATTGAAAGTTGACCGAATTTTGAAATGAAGGTTGTAGATTGTGTTCTCAAGGTCGCCTTGTGTGCTTTGTTATTTATCTGAAAGTCTTAAAGCCAAAATATCAGTGTACGTTAGCACTCTGGATTCTTTTGAGTTATAAGATCATATCTAAAAGAAAAATATTACAAATTGAGCTACCCTGATATGATTATTTAATCCTATTGGTGTTTCCACATAAGTTTTCCCTAATAATTGTTGTCTTTAATCGCGAATCATAGCTAGTTAAATTGTTCGCTCGAAATTCTCATATCCGTGGTGGATGGCGTTGGAGTTTGATTTTGGTTGGATATAGGTTCTGTATGTTGCCTTGGATACTAGATGAGTAATGTATTTTGTGAGATTATAATGTACTCAGCTTATTTTACTGTAAGTTTCACGCGGCTATTCAACCGGGGTTAGTAGCGTTTCTGGTACAAGGCTTAAGTTGCATTACCTTGTCTGTTTTTTTTACTATTGTATGAAAAACCGTGTGTTATAAAGACACAATCAGACCCATTTTCGAATTAAAGTTTATGGCAATTATCGAAAAATAAATATTTTTCCAGCGGCGTTTAAAATATTGGCAAAAAGCGTATCGGATCTCTTTATTTCACTGACCCGTTGATCATCTCTAGATGCTTTTTGTGATGTTGCTATCATTAATCGCTACATTTTTAACTGTCTATTGTTGAGACGTTTAGTAAGATATGATGAAGGTACCTAACCACGTATCTTCATCAATGAAGATCGTCAGTCGCTTTTGCCTTCTATGATGTTCTGGAAACATTTCTCAGTAAAATATCTAGTGGTCGCATGTATCTGTTACCTTAAAAATATATTTCCATCTTGGATAAATAAATAATCTCTCAATATATGATTACATGGAAGTTATGTAAATTGTGTGTTGTCGGTTAAAGATTAGTGTATTTTAGAATAACATTCACCGTGCACCTCTGAATTCCGAATTATTTTCATATTGCTGAGCAGGTATGTGATTAGCTTGGCCCGATCGAAGCTGCTACCTTGACGCGGTGGTCGGGCTTGCCTATCGTGATGACCCAACCGAGCTATATTGGCTGGAACATATGTTCCTGCAGGTTCTACCATGCCAGGCAGGTCGATTGGAGAACGGTGAGACTAAAATCAGCAACTCAAGGTTTGAGGGCGAAGTCGTACTGCTGACTGTACAGAGGTGTGACAGCAGTAAGGTGTTTCCCTCGGACAACCAGCATGACAGCGATGCTGCCTTCCCACAAGGAGGGGTGGGGTTAGAAAAGGTCGACCCTAAAAATGCACACCTCACCTTACCTCACGGATTTCCGTCTCCGGCGGTAAGGCCCCTTGAAGAACGGAGCTAACACGTCAAAAACCTTCCACAAAAAGGCCGTGCGCGACCGGCCTCAAGCAGTTGTCCCTTGGGCTCTGCGGTCACGCTCCCAGGTCGTCAAGACCAACACTAATCCAATTTCCTTTTCAGGTTCCTCAAGAAATACCCTTCCACGGTGTGGGCAGCCGGGAAGTGACATCAGCCCTCATACCCGTAACAGCACAAGAGACCAAGGTGGTCACATTCAAATCCTTCCTACACCCCCTAATACCTCTCTTATCCTCCCGACTAACCCTCCTCACGTCTCTTTATCACCTCGCACCGCTAGGGCAAACGATTCGAGTACGTGGAACGCCATTCCTGGTCTCCTGAAACCACGCTCTAAACTACACGTTGGAGCTTTTAACGTACGAACACTTTGCCAAACAGGACAGCAGGCTTCCTTAGCTAAAACTTTAGAATCTCGCGCCATCGATGTGTGCTGCGTCTCCGAAACGCGCATACAGGATCCGAGTAGCGTCATTCATTTGACCTCACCATGCCAAAATAAAGAACCGACTCGATTTACGCTTCGTGTATCTGGAAGCCCTGATTCTGCTTCCCGTGGCCTCGCCGGCGTAGGTATAGCATTGAGTCCTAGGGCAGAACTAGCTCTCTTAGAGTGGATCCCAGTAAACAGTCGTTTGTGCGCTGTCCGACTGAACGGAACAGTAAGAATCCGGAAAGATAGGGACACTCGTCGTTGCCTCTTCGTCGTCTCAGCCTATTCTCCCACTGACTGCAGCTCAGATGATGTAAAAGATGAGTTTTACAGAAAGCTTTCGGACCTTCTCCGAAAAGCTAAGCGCTCGGATGTAGTAATAGTGGCCGGTGACTTTAATGCTCAAGTAGGTAAACTAAGCGATAAGGAAAGACACCTAGGTGGATCCTATGGTGTCGTGGCTCAAAGAACAGATAATGGCGACCGTCTGTTGCAGCTATGCTCAGATAACCGCCTGTTCCTTGCAAATACTAACTTTAAGCATAAGGAAAAACATCTTTTAACATGGAGAACCCCTAATTCGTCCCAACGTTGGACCCAAATAGATCACATCGCTATCAGCCACCGATGGAGGGGCTCGATAGAAGACTGTCGCTCATTCTGGAGCACATGCCTAGATTCAGATCATGCTCTAGTGTGAGCGCGTATTTGCTTGCGTCTTACTGGACGTAGGAAAGACGCTGCAAGGAAACCTCTTAGGGCCTACTTAATGATAGTCAAGCTAAGAATATATTTCAGGAACAACTAGGAAAACAGTTAGGCAGCCATGTATGTGATGCCCACCCCGAGGCAGCATGGAACGATATCCGAAAAGCTGTGGAAACAGCAGTGATATCTGCTAGTAAGGTAAACCGTAAAGTTAGGGAGCAACACTGGATCTCAGCAGCATCTATCGCACTGATAGATGCTCGAAAACTCATTCCACCTGGCTCTGAACATAATGAAGAGCGGAGTCAGCTTAAGCGCAAGCTGACAAGAAGTCTACGCAATGATCGCGAACAGTGGTGGGTAGCGAAAGCAAGAGAGATGGAAAAGGCAGCGGCAATAGGTAATAGCAGACAATTGTTTAGACTCGTTAAGGAAACCGGAATTAGGAACCCGACCGTTAGCGAAACAATCTCAGAGAAAGATGGACATATTATTCATTCTCAATCCAGGAGATTGGATCGATGGGCAGAACACTTTAGGGATCAGTTCAACTGGCCTTCAGCCACACTTCGGTTTCCCACGATCTCTAGTCAACCTGAATGGCAAGTTAATGTAAGTCCTCCGTCCCTTTACGAAGTTGAAAAAGCCATAGGAAATCTGAAACGAGGGAGAGCAGCAGGCCCTGACAGGTTTACTCCTGAGATTTTTAAGGATGGTGGTCCAGTATTAGCAATGAGATTAACTGAGGTCTTAGGTAGAATTTGGGAACTGGACGTAATCCCATCTGACTGGTCTCAATCACTGATTGTGCCAGTTTTTAAGAAAGGACAAAAGTCCTCTTGTGATAATCACAGAGGAATCAGTTTGACTAATATAGTGTCTAAAATATTAGCCTCAATAATACTTCGACGCCTAACTAAAGCTCGTGAAGAGCAGACTAGAGAAAACCAGGCTGGTTTTCGACCTGGACGTGGTTGTATCGATCAGATATTCACACTACGTCAGGTTCTAGAACACAGACACACATTCAGACGCCCCACAATGGTAGTATTTCTCGACCTTAAGGCGGCATTCGACTCCGTTGATCGTGAGGTTCTATGGCAGTGTTTGTCACTGAAAGGAGTACCAAAGAAGTACATTAACCTTATAAAGGCTCTCTACTCGAACACAACTGGTAGAGTGAGAGCTTATGGCGAACTGTCATCAGAATTGATTACCTCAAGTGGTGTTCGTCAGGGTTGTCCACTCTCTCCATTCTTGTTCAACTTTGTCATTGACGTACTTTTAGAGATAACACTCTCCTCATCTAAATTTCCAGGGGTTGAACTTCTACCAGGAGGTTCACTTGTTGACTTAGAATATGCAGATGACATAGTTTTATTTGGTGAAGACGCTGACAAAATGCAGAGTCTTCTGACCACTCTAAGCAACAATGCAAGCATGTTCGGGATGCGATTCTCTCCCTCGAAATGCAAAATGTTGCTTCAGGATTTGGTTACATCGACACCCGAACTAGTGATAGGGAGTGAAGTAGTTGAGTGTGTCGACCGCTTCACTTATCTTGGAAGTCTCATCAGCCCTTGTGGTTTGGTGTGTGACGAAATCTCAGCACGGATACAGAAGGCTCGACTAGCTTTTGCCAACTTGCGTCATTTATGGCGTAGGCGAGATATCCGTCTATCAACCAAAGGACGTGTTTACTGCGCAACAGTTCGTTCCGTCCTACTTTATGGCAGTGAAACATGGCCGGTAAGAGTAGAGGATATCCGTAGGTTACTAGTATTTGATCATAGGTGTCTTCGAAACATTGCTCGTATATCATGGGACCATCGAGTAAGTAACACAGTTGTTAGGAAACGGGTACTAGGTAAAGATGGCAAATCAATTGATGACGTAGTGAAACTTCATCAGTTGAGATGGCTGGGACACGTGTTACGTATGCCCAACGACCGACTGCCTCGACGTGCTATGTTCAGTGGTATAGGAGTAGGTTGGAAGAAAGCTAGGGGCGGCCAAACCAAAACATGGCACAAGTCCATGAAGTCACTGACAAGTGAACTGAGTCATGTTGGTAGGTGTAGACTACCTGGTTGGGGACCGCGAGATGACAGCAACCGATGGTTAGAGACCCTGAATGACATGGCTCAAAATCGTTTGCAATGGCGCAGGTGCATCCACTCTCTGTGTTCTCCCAAACTCTAATCTTCTGAATTCTTCATGTCCCTTTTTTCCTCTTTCCAAATTTCTTTCACTGGATTATACTCTTTAAATAACATCTCCAAACCCTAATCTTCCCGATTACTGCTTATACTCTTATTACCTCTACCACTACCGGATTTGAATCGACAAGTGCATCTCTGTGCTAGTGTGGTGTGGCAACTCGAACTGATGTACGTACGTACGAAGTTCTACGTTGTTACTGACTGACTGACTGACTGATTAGCTTGGACAGTTGGCATTTTGAATATAATTTAGAAATTCATGCATCTGTATAGTTGTATGAATGTTGTGATAGACAAAATCAACTTCAGGCTAGCGGCTTATATCAATATAGGTTACCCTTGATTCCATGGTGATACTTATTTCACCACAGAATGTTGGGTTTGTGGTGCTATCATAAAATCAATCTTGTTCGACGTTTGAAAAATTTATTCTTTCCATGCTAGTAAATTTTCGCCAAACCTCTTAGGTCGTCGTTCCTAAGAAAGATCTATATTCATTGAAAACGCCTTCTAGTTCATATTAAGATTAATCGATCGCTTTTGCACAACTTAGATTATCTTTGAATCAGTGGTCCCTTTAAATATCAAATTCGGCTGTTTAGATATGTATTACAAATGTCGTTCAAGCGAATTTTAAATTAAACATTGCCTTGTGACCAAGACTGGATCAAAGAATAATATAGTTTATGATGTTACTATGCTGTTTGAAAATCATATGTTTGGTTAGCATCTGTTAGTACACCACAACTCATACGGGTTCCTGGAAGTCTTGCTACGTAACTTCCCTTACCCACTTATCTTTGTTCTGTTGATGTATGTATTTGCATCGATTTTGTATGTTTTCAACAGCGAAATGCTTCACTTCATGTTCTCGAAAAATAATTCATACTGGGTTATTCGAATTTTTTTGAGACTACGCTTTTCGATAGTATGAGAAGCTGGAGATGGCCATATTTTCCACTTCGTTAATCAAAACTTAAGTACTGTTAAAGGAGACAACCACGATACTGACAACTTTTGAGCACGCAACAAACTTGACTGAAATGTCATCGGGAGGATTTTTAGCATGATATTCATCTTGAATGGTATATCCTAGTACAGATATTTGTCTTAAGCAAGTCAATTCCACCTATTTAACGGAAGTCTGATTTACATGATAGAAAATCGATGTTCAGAAGTGTATTCAACCACCATTAGGCGGTCAGTTAAGATTATAATTTGAAAAATCATACTCATCATTTTACAAAAAAGATAAGAACCGTTGAACTTTCCAAGTAAATCTTCATGTCTATCAATCAACTTTTATTTTACCGGACTTACCATCTTTACACTATTGACTTCTGTCACAAACGTACTGTGAATGAAATCTTGATGGCTTAGAATGTCCATCTTTTGTAAAGATATGATGATATTTTGATGACCTCAATGAACTGTTCTCATCTTGTTCAAGTTTTAAAGACTACCACTTTAACGATGCATAGTAATTCTAATTAAACTTAATAATTTAGTATTGAACGAATACATGACAATATCTGATCAATAAGAATAAAATTTCATTTAGTATTCCGAAAATTAATAAACATTTATATTAACAAATTAATTACACTGAAAATCTAATTGACTTCACACATATCCATATACAGATGTAAAACGTTTACTATAATTTAAAAATTACATAGTTTCACTAATGAAGTAGTCATTTAGTAATTAAATGGAAAAAAGAAATATTGATCAGAGAGTACTTCTATTCTCTGACACTTATTTATTAATCACTAATGTTGATTTGTTGTTCATGTCCTAACAACACACATTTATTTCTATCAGGGTTTTACTCTCTTAAATTATTAAGTTTAATATTATTGAATCAATGAGTCAGCCTATTTATTTTTGTGAATTATTCATTAATTTAGTGCAGTTCTGAACATAAGCGTGTTATTTGTTGTTGCTTTAATTTTAGCTGTCTAAATACTATTTAGCGATTGTGAATTTATACAGAGTATTTAAATTATGACATTTAATTAGTGTACTTTCAAACACCAGCTGGTCAACTAGCGCGATTTATGGAATCAACGAATAATTCTATAAAACCATGTCATCATTTTTATATTGGAACTTGACTGCGACCATAGAATTATTTAGCTATTTAATTAAAACATGGAAACTTCGTCAAACGAAAGTGTATAATATTAGGGGTAAAATGACTCTGAATGAAGTTCTTAAACCATTTTCACTTTGATATGACTAAGCTAATTTAATAATAATCATATCTGTAAGATATAATTAGAATGAGCTTGTTCAACGTATCAGAATATTCACCATTCTGTACTTTTTTAAGTTGGTAGTTTTGGCGACTAGTGATTGTCAGCTTCAACAACATCTAAATTTTCCTATCGTAATAATTTTTACTTGTTCAGAAAGGTTTTTGATTAACTTGTTTGACACGGAGTTGTGTTTTTACGATTGCAATATTCGATTAAAAATTTCTCAGAAAGTGGAGATTTCTTCTAAAAGATAGATATGGCCAATTAACAAGTAATCGGCAACTGCATATAAATCTAATGCTTCCCTAACGTTAGATTTCAGTTGGCTAATATCAAATATAGTGTAACACAATGTCTTGTGACTTAATTTATTGATCAGGTACAAAGTATTTATCTTATTGTATTTCATTTAGAACTAAAAAGTAGAAAGTGATAATGCGTTGATATAAGAACGTACTAAAAAATCATAACTTATTAGTAGTAGACATTAGTTTGTGAGAAATGCCTCTAAACAATTCACTTAAGCTACTTAAAAGTTACCTAAAACTGATTGATGACATATTCACACTCGTATCTTTTAAAAATTTTATTGTTAAACACCACGGATACTAAGATATGTAAAATCATCGACCATAAAATATATCAGCATTTGCCCATGGTGGTAATATGATTTGAGTATACAGACAGGTTAGTAGATATTTCTCATTAGCAGCTTTGTTTCAGTCAATAACCTATAGCATGTTTAAGTATAATACTAGTAAAAAACTTTACCGATAACGAAATCCTGTATTCCTTATCAGCGTCCGTCTATTTGGACGTAACTTCGATCTTCCTTCTAATAGGGTTTCTAGTCCACTGTTCTCTTTACAAACATTTTAGTTAAGCTATCAATTAAAGAAACAAACAAAGTTGCCTAGCTATGTGGCATTTTTGCAACATTTTTCTTATGTATCTCCATATTTGGTCGCCCAAACGTACTTAGGGTTTCAGTTCCTTATACTGATGTAATAGTCAATTAAATGCTTTACTACAGTGCAGCTATTACATTTCCTGTCTCACAACACGTTCAGTTACTTTTCCTCTGTATCCTAATGTTTCTAATCTATGTTTAGATAAATAATGTCTGGCAAAAACAGTCATATAATTAGTGAGAGCGATGTAAGGAGTGAACCGTCGGTTTCAACTTGCCTACCGGATAGGAAGACTTCAGTGAGTTGAGATGAATTCTATTCAGAAGTTTTATTTAATAACTTTTTTATGTTATAACGGAATGAATATTGTAGAGGTCGAAATTTTCCTTTCAAATTATCGTTATTCATAGTTTTACATAATTACTGGGTAGCTAGATTACTACATATGATTTCTTTTCGTTAAACCCATTAAATATTTTTATACGACTTTGCCAACCTAATTTATTGCTAGCCTATTACTTAGTTTCCCCTAATCATAGCCACTCTCTGCTTGTTTATGTGTAATTGTTGTTTTCCATCTTATGATGTTGCATTCTGGTATATCTATATAAATTATGTCTGTTTAAAATGCTAATGCAGTAGAGGTGGGTTGCTACTTCCGAATTCGAGGATAGTGGTAGAGGAGAGCTAGCCAATGCTAGAACAATAGGAACCTGACTCCTGGCTCACTGTCAGTAGTGCTGGTCAGACGTGTAATAAGTCAGAGACACTAAGTTGTAGAATAGATAGCAGATCAACTTAGAATCAGGACCCTAATTGGTAACTGAGCACGCGATATTGACCGGTGGTCACAGGATAACAATTTACCTCATGTAAACTACCAAGATGAATAATCTTTGTGGTGGTCGCATATCAAAACAAGCTAAAAATCCTGACAGTCGTCATCAAGTCCACTATAAAATTTATGAACTAGTACCTTTACGAAATCAGACCTAGAACCTTCAGGTTATTCAACGACCCTGCTACTAATTAACCACTAAATTAAAATATATTCTTCACTTTCGAATTTAGATTGTTCATAACACCTCGAATATTTTTTAGCATCACTGGCTTAAACTTATCTAAGCTCTTCAAGTTTTGTTAGAAATTACATTTACATGCACAAGGTAGTATTGACTGTATCCATCCTTCCTATAATAAACTCAGTTCCACGTCTAAACGAGTGTAAATAATGTAACTAAGTAACTTCTTGTCTAAGGTTTCTCCACGTTTGAGACATAACTGAATCTTCAAGGTGGGACTACCATTATTTAATTTTGTCTCACTCTAGAAATTCGTACACTACATATCAGTATCATAATAGCTTACAATACGACCATTTTAGGGTCCGGGTTATAATCATGATCAGTGGTTGGAGACGTTAATCGAGTCACTTACATGATCGCAGATCTATTCACACTTTTCTTACTCCAAGCCTTGAGCCTCAATACTATTTCATGCGTTTTATTCCTCCAATACATCTTTTTTTGCACTATTTTCTCCAATATGCAGACCCTCTCACTTTTTGATTAACACCACTATTATTTGGATTTTTCTATTTGATCCTTTTCATTTCGTCTCGGTGTGTGATTTAGTGTAGAAAAGTAAGCTAAAGTGAATTATTTTCTGGCTCCGCTGACTATGACTGACTTACCGCTATGCTATATTATCCCATTTGCACCGCAACTTGACAGAGCGGTGTTTACGCACATTTACATACTAAGGTTGCCTCAGATAAAAGATCTCATTGATTCATCTATCATATCCAACTAGACAGCTTTTAAATACACGAGCTGATTAGCTACTAAAGAGATTTGCTTACCTAAAAACTTCTTTTTCCAAACTTTAGGATGATTGCACACTTCCATTCAGTATGTCTATAGTAAATATTGATGATTATTGGAGCCTATCTGCAATAAAAAATTTCCAAGACTGGATCTGATTGTGAGCTTAATTAGCAATGAATAGTAATTTCGAGAGTGCGAAAGTTATATGTTTCACAATTTTTCAGAAATAATACAGATACGCTAGAATTGGAGTTTTAATTCCGTTGTTAGGTTTCAGGATTTTCAGAAACATGCTTCCACTTTACTTAGTGATCAGCTATATCCTTTAGTACAGACTTTATTGCCATTGTTCCTTTTTAAACCCCTTGTCTTGTAAGAAGCTATTTGAAATTCTCGTCTAAACTGTGTAAGAATATCCAACTTTGTTAGAATAATGTTCCAGAATAAGATCTATCATGTCTGTGCATGTTAAGTTCGAAATTTATAATTGCACTTTTGCTCCGACAAATTTTTTCACAGTAGGGATCTGTTTCTGATGTTGTTTCCTATTAATGGAGTCTAAGCATAAGTAGATTACATTATTAGTTCACCTCCCATAACTTACTGCCAAGTTTAAGGGTTAGAATGATTTTATTTTCCTTATTGTTGCGTTCATTTCTAGATTGACGCTCATGAGACCAAACAGCCTTTGCCCAATAATAAGTAACTATTTATTTTCATATCATTGTATGCTAGACACTCCATAAATTTTGATATATTGCTCAGTTTTACCATATTTTCTATAGTTTATAACCAACACAATGCAAAACGTGTTGAAGTATTCCCATTCACTTTCAAACTTCCGGGTTTTTCAGAGTTTGGACCACAGTGGGCCATCTGTACCAACTATGTTAGCATACGTTGATTTTCGTCCATGGTTTAAAGGGTGGGATCAACTTGACGTAAATGATCAGGACAAATTGAAGGACCTGGTAACATTTAATTCTACTAGTCAAATCGACTAATATCCAAATATCTAATGATGTATTAAAATTATCTCCTTTCATGAACTTCAAAATTCTTTGGTTTGATGAATCTGCAGATATCTGGAATAATGTAGTATCTCTAATTCCACTCTGATTATATACTATTTCTCAGTAGCAGTTATGGATCCAATTATTTACAAAATATTTGCTCTGTTTTGCGTTACCCATGGGTAATAATATTTTAACATGTATATTTTGTAATACCAGAATACAACATTTTAATAAGAATTTGTGTTGTATTTTCCATGTGTGGTTGAAATTTATGTTGAATGCTTGTACTAAGAATGATGAAGGCGATTTTTGAGCTTAGATTTTCCAATCCAAATATCCACAAATGGAACATATTTCTATTTATTTTAAGGGAACGTAATAATAGTATTTTACAATCTAGTTCATTTATTATATACAGATTTACATGCTGTTCTCTAACTCGCACCGTTTGATTGGAAATATGGCATCAATTTACCATAGTAAAGCATTATACATAATAGTTTATTCCCAATGGGTTGCTAATATTTTCATTTCTACTGTGTCCAACCTTACGGAAGCCACGTTAAGGTGTAATTTTACTGCCTACAATTGTCAAACTGCTATGAAACATTATGTTTCAGAAAATAACTCTTAAATGTAACAGTTAACGATAAAGAGACTAATAAAAGTTATGTAAGATCCAATGAGATTATAGTGGATAACCCTACTTACTAAGTATTACAATACTATCAGGATTATTGGTTTATACTTGACTGCACTCCAATCTGAGAGGCAGGATATTATGATCAACCCTCACCAAATCAGTATTGTTTAAGACCGAACATATCTACTAGTTAGCTACAAATTAAAGGATAATGACGTTTTTAAACCGTGTTAATTTGAGATGCTCCATTATGTAATAAGACCAGACAAGTCCCGACGTATTATGTTGACCTTCCGTACTGTAGTTATCTTTTGTATTTTAAATTATGTAAGAAGATGGTTTGGAATTTTCTGGTCATAGTAATGATTGTTAATCTTATGTAAAGGAAAAATTGAGAATTCGGTGGTATATAATAATGGACATGTTGCCAGGAGTCTACAACAGTTTTATTTTTTATTATCTTCATTTTTCATCATTTCAGATGACTCGTAATGAGCAACAGTTCGAACAACGATCTCATCGACCTAAAAGGGCATTATCAAAAACCAGTGACGTAAGTTTATAACAATGTGATCAACTCAGCTAAATGTATCTATGAGTATTCTGATTAACAGTTACATGCAATGATAATTTGCTAACAAGTTTGTCCTTACCATGAGTTACGTTGTTCTAGACATTTCGGGCATACGTTGTCTTGGTGACTTATTCCGTTTGATGCCCATTCCACTCATTCAGGTTGGTCAAGTCTTCTTGGAGAAGCCTATTGGCCTGTCTGAACCTTTGCTTCAACTCATATAGGCACACATGTCCGTGCTAAGATACATGTTTCACGGGTATAACCATCACAACACCAACACCCAGTGTTAGATTTGCGACTGTTGAGAAGGCGAAATTGGACCCACACTTACTTGGCAAATATTCATGACATGCACGCTAGAAGCATACAAGTTTGATACTATTGTGTTTCATAGTATACAGATATGCATAAATACTTTATTTGGTAACTAAATGCCAGGATGTTTGATTCGCCAAATACACATTGCACATACACCAGAAATGTGTAGGTACAAGACCTGCTCATTCCATGGCATATGTAAGCATAGAGGACGTCTCTTTGATTATTACTGTTGTTAGTTCAAGTATGCGTTACACGCACAACCGAAGTACACAGATTAAATCAACCTATGAATTCCAAGCATACGTATAAGCATAAATGCTCTCATGTGTCCAACACGAGTTAAAACATTCTAATCCATTTTTTTGCGGCAGATTGGTGGATTTATCCGATCCCCATCGACCGCGCAAGTCGGTTCGTGTTGCAGACACCCACGCACTACGATTAACCCTGAATAAGATATTGCCATATATTCCGTCTAGAAAATCCTTTTTCACTCACTTTCCATCTATTAATTCATTTGCTTGATGTTTTCATATAATCCAGAAATACATGTCCTTCAGTTCAGCGATAAATGAGCTTGTCTTATGTATCCTATTAACTAAACTACATGAGTGGCCAGTTAACCGAATTCCAGAATCGTTCATCACGGTTTGTATGATTTTCTCAACAAAATAAGGACTTTCTTAGAATTATGAGACAATTTTTTAGTATTAACGAGTGTTATGTTCTCTCTTATAACAACCCATCTACTCTTATTACTTAGCATTCTGTAGACACTTTACTTCACTTGACAAGTTTCCAAATCAGAACACGGTTGAACAGGGACGTAATTATATTCCAAATAGACGAGGTCGAGTGGGGGGTACGAACCACAATAAGAAGAACGTTAGTATATTTACAATTTTTACACAAGATTCTAGAGTCTTCTACAAGTATCCGCCAGAGCTGACTGGGTAAGAAATGCACAATCAGCGTACTCCAACTCAGTCCTGCATGGACCACACTTTAATCTATATATTATCGAGATCTAGAAATGATGACGTATTCAGGATATGTAGACATGCTGTTAGTTGGTTGTATGTTAGTTGAAATGTTGCTTGAAATATCCATTTGTTTAGTTCGTGAGTGATAAACTACAAATCTACAGGAGAAAGTAATAGTTCTTGAAAGTTTCCGAGTCTTTTGATCGCACTAAGCAATATTACAAACATGATCAGAGTACATTTTCCTCCTCAAAACGCGAAATCCTGCTGTTGAAGTGTTCTGCATTGACTCCTAAAGTAGTTAAGTGCATTGACCACGTCACTTATTTTTAAAGTCCTATCAGTTTATGTGGGTTGGGATCTGACAAAATCTCGGAACAAATTCAGAAAGCTTGACTGGGCTTTGTCAACTTTCGTCACTTGTGATGTAGGCAAAATGTTTGTCTGCAAACCAAGAAACGAGAGTATTGCTCAGCAGTCCTCTGTGTACTAAATTATCACTGTGGAACATGAACATAAGTAGCAAGCATGTATAGGATGCAGGTTTTTGATTATAAGTGTCTTCGAAATATTGTTTGGTTTTCATGAAACTACCGATTGATCCATGTTGAAGGTAAAACAAAGGTGACAAGTCGGTTGCTGGGGTTGTAAATCCTTAATTATCAAGGTGGCCTAAACACGTTACATATGTCTAAACATCGCCCTGCTAAACAGGCACTTTCGGTGATATAGAAGTAGATTGAAAGGAAGCTTGAAGACGCTGAACCAGGAAGTAGGATTAGTATATGAAATCGTCGACTTTTGGTCTGAGCCATGTTAGTTGATGCAAGCTACTTGGTTTGAATTCACTTATCAACCACGATCAGTGATTGGCGACTGGTTGATACGATTCAGAGTCGTTTATAGTGGTGCAGGTACATCTAGTTTCTATCTTCCGATCTTCAACCTCAGTGTTTTTCCATACATACCTTTCCAATTTGTCTTTTCGAACTACATTCCCAACATTCAATCTTTCTCATTATCACTGCTACATTACTTCGATCTATTTTACTGTTCATCTTGTTGTTTTCACATCGTTGTACTAATGTAATATGACAACCTGGACCAACGCACATCTGTACCAGGCTCTACGTTGATTATGACTGACTTACCAACTAATTATTTTACACTGTTTGTGACCTGGTTCGGCCAAAAAATTTGAAGCGTATTATTTTGCAGTGTTATGACCTATACTCTGTCCATGTGAAATCCTATCTATTTGAGTTTCGAAGGTGCCATAACTCTCTTTTCAGCTCCCTTTGTCTGCAGAAAGTGGTCTCGTCTGGTACTAATACTTTGAGAAAGCCTTCAGCTTAACATTATGTGGTTGAGAATAGTCGATACACCGATTTCATAAGTGTTATTTGAAGACAGTTACTTCTTTAGATTGGGTTCATTTTACTCAAGTGGTCTCAGAGATTTCCTTATATAGCATTATCTGGCAAAATCGGTGTTAGGTGGAAGCGGAAAGTTAGTTATACGTTGAGATGATGGTGGCTAGCAGTGAAATTCAGGACAGGCGTTTCATCCTACTTGGGACTCGTCAGCTGACCACTACTATCTCAGCTTATAATGCTTGTGGCTGAAGGCAATATCGATGCAATCCGCACAGGATGCACATATGCCAATAATAATGTGATCGATTACAGTCCTAAACATCAATGGAAAGATTCAAGCAACAATTGCCGGTTGATTGCACCTAGCTAAATATGGACCTGTTTATGATCCGACTCAGTGGCTCGAAAAGTTGTCAGATATGGCTAAAAGAATAAATCATGGATAATTCTGCCGTAAAAATAATGTTACTCATGAATCGTAAATTATATCTACGTCCTGAACAGAGTCTATCTTGATTGCATCTTTATTCAGATAGTATCCTTTGGAACGTCTTGAAGTCCGTAAATTGATAACGAACTTCAGAATTTCGATTGAATGTGATATTCTCGGCGTTTTGCTGTTCTATCAGAGTGTGCATTTTGAGAAGGACTACATTTTAGAAATCTAATGCCTCCAAATCGATATTCGAAATCACGACTCTTTATGAGTTTCATTTAACTTTTTTTAATTTTTAGGACAATGTTTTAGGGATTTCTTGGAAAGAAGAACAGGAATTACGCAAAGCCATGTATGTTTCTCTTAGAGATCAACAACAAACAAATTCGGATTCCAGTCCTTGCAATCACCTCATGACTTTACGTTTCCAATTGGTAAAACAACCAAGTATATCAGGACCTAGCAGTGCGAAATTGGGTTTAGCGAAGCCACGGTCAACCATTCAGTTTAAACATTCTATAAAACAAATTCGCCCGAAATTTGTCTCTGCGAATACCATCTTTCCTAAAACTAGAAACGCTTCCGAGAGTTCTCCGAATAAAGAAGTATTAAAATGTGATTCAAACAGCAATAAAACAAATGTAAGTGGATA